TTATATTTAGATTAAAAAGATACCAAAAAAAAAAAAAAAAAAAGATCTCCCACACACCTCCTCTAACAATCTTTCTCCCTACAGTTATTCATCATTAACAACTTGGTCCACATCCCAGATTTTTTTGTGCACATGCATAAATATAAAGATAAGTTTGTGTATATGTATACAGATATCTGTAGCATTCCAAAAATGGTATCTTGTCTTATGTACTGTCCTGCAACAGTCTTTTTTAACTTAACTGTATGTTGAAGGTCTTTCCATGTCACTATATTTGTAAATGTGGATGATTCTTTTTAACAGTTGTGGTGCTGTGCCATTTAATTAACCAGTCCTGTATTGATGGACAGTTAATTCCAACATTTCACTGGTGTAAACAGTACTGTGGGGAATCCCTTTGTGTCTTTCTTTGTGTACTTTTGTGACTATTTGTGTAGAATGAATTAGTAAGAGTGGAATATCTTGTTCTAAAGTGGTAATTTAATCTGTTAATGGCTTCTGGGGTGGGTAGGTTGGAAGTAGGGAGACCAGTTAGAAGGCTGTTAAAATAATTTAAGCTTGAGGTAGTTAGAGTGGTTGGCTGTGAAAATGGACAAAAAGGGAGAGATGTAAGATATAAGAGATATTAAGTGCAAGGACTTTATAAGACCTGGCATCTGGTGAGAGAGGAAAAAGTCACTGAGCTCCTGTGAGGTTGGGAGTCTAGGCGTCTGGGAAGATGGGAAACATAAATCAGAGGGAGCTGATTGGGGGAAGTAGGGATCAGTGATGGGTTATTTGGGGCCAGGTTGAGTTCAAGGACCCTGCTTCTCACCCAGGCAGCGATGTCCAGAATGCAGTTGAAGTATTGCTCCGGTCAGAGCTAAGGGCTGCAGACTGGGAATGGAATTCATTTGCATAGGATGGCCCTGAGGTTATGGGAGGGGGATGAAATCTATAGAGAGAGAGAATCCAGAGACTGAATGGTGAGGGCCTCATGTGTGGGGATGGGGTACAGCCTGGGAGGTCAAAGGCAATGGTGAGAGAGACGGGAGGAGATCTCATAGGATTCACTATCAAGGATGTCAGAGAAGGAGGGAGTCTGAAGTTACTTTAAAGGATGAAATAATCAGGAGACTGAGTTAGGCTCCCTCCCCACTGGCCCTCAATAGGCACTATCTTTACATCTTGCACGTGCTTTTCTGAGCACTTAACACACTAGTGGTTGGTCAGTGTGATCATCTGTTTAATGTCAGCCTCCCCCTCTGAACTGTGAGACCACGGAGGCAGGGACCATGCCACTGTTGCTATGTCTTCTATCCCCAGCCTCAGGCATGGTGTTCGGCACAGGACAATGTTGGTACCCCCTAATCATTGCTGCCTCCTGGCACATACCCTCCCTCTCCCCTCCCCTCACACATGTTCTGCACAAGTTGGGAGAGGAGGGACTTAGGACCCTGTGGGAGAAGATACAAGCTGTACAATTTGAGTTTGAGGTGCAGCAAATTTGAGTGGATAGCCAAAAAAAAAATGGGTCATCCAAACTCAATTCATTGTACATCCTGGTGGCCGGCCTTGAGGGCAGTCTCCATGTTGGTAGCCAGAGGTGACAGGACTCAGACTCCGGGCCTCTACAGTGCAGTGCTGCAATAGCCATGGACAAGCTCATCTCTCCTCTGCTCCCCTGCGCCCTCCCTTTGCAAAACCTGCCCTCCTCGGTGCCACACTCCATACATGGCAGCTGTTTTCATTGCCACGTTTCATGGGAATGGTGTTCCGTGGTGAGGCTGGAGCCCACCTGTACAAAGATTTTGAACTTTCACTTTCTTAGGGTGCCAGCCGGTCTAGGTCAGGTTTCCCCAAAGCAGACCATGAGATAAGATTCGTGAGCAGGTAGTGAATGAAGGAAGTGCATCCAGAGAAGACGGGGAAGGGGGAAGCAGGACAAGGATAGAGAGGCAGAGGGCAAGCGTGCGCTCTCAAGCCATGCAGAGAGGAAGGTAGGGTTGCTATGCTATCACTGAGTTGTTCTGGCCCAGGCAAAAGAGAGGAGGAGCTCATTTTCCTCTTCCATTTAGTCTTTGATTAAGGGTCAGGGCAGGAGCAGGTTAGAGATCAGGAATTCCCAGACCCTTGTAGCCCTGCCTGTGTGGGGGCAAAGTGGGCTCAGGAGCCCAAGAGAAGACCCCCTCTCTCAAGAAAAAGTGTCAGGTACTGGCTGTTGGAAGCCAAAGCATGCTAAAGTGGGGAGGGGGGCCACAAAAGTGGTAGAAAGGGGGATCTGGTGGCGCATCACGTTGTTCACTACAGCAGAGGGCTGATTGAGGTTGAGGGAGGGTCTGTTACTGGCCCGATGGACCGGAAGCAGAGGCTGTTAATTCTTCTGTGTCTCCCACCAGTGTGTGTTTTATCAGCAGAACCCAGCACTCAGAGGTGCACCTCCTGTGTTCATGAGGGCTTCACCTCACATCAGGTGCTCAGTAAACATTGAGAGAATGCACACACCACACTTCAGGCCTTGGGGGCTGAGATAAGGCCTCGAACCTGGTCATGAGCAGTCACTGGAGACTGGCTTAGTAAGCCATGTGCAGGGAGCCATGGGCTGGGGGCCACGTCACAAGAGACCGCAGAGTGTGTGCTCAGTGCGATGAGGTTGTTCCCTGAAGGGAAGCCCTAAGTCAGCCTGAGGAGGTGTGGAAAGAGCTGGAAGTCAGAGAGGCAGCGGATTCAAGGCCCAAAGAGGACGGACGGTGAGAGGAGGTCGAGGCGAGGGTGGGAGGAGGTGGGATGGTAGGACAGATGGTGGACCAGCCCCAGCCAGGGTAAGGCTGACCCTTCCTTTCAGAAAGGAGGGGAGGTGAGGGGCAGGCTGAAAGGTCTGAGCGTGGTGAAATTTGGAAGTGAGGAGGAGCAGAACAAAGGAAACGCATCTTCTCTGCCGAGTGGGACAAAGATCTTCTGTTGGAATGGAAGGGTTGTGGGGTGAGGGAGTTGCGAAGCATTGGAACAGTCACTTTGGGGACTGTGACTGAGTCAGCAGGAGATGACCTGTGGGGTCAGGTGACTGAGGTTAGATGGTGGATGTTGTTGGTGTGGTTGGGTACAGTCATGGTCCCCAGATTGTGGAGGTGACACGTCAAGAGGAAAATTCATCTGTGAGGGTGTCCCTAAGATGGTGAGGGCAAATTTGGGGAGCGTCGGGATTCTCTCTCTGTAGTGACTGTGGCTACTTTTGCTTAGCACCTCCATGTGACAGGCACCATGGCAAACATTCTGTCCCTCTCAACTGCTGCAGGAGGTGGGTGCTGTCCGACCTGAGGTCTTGTAGCTCATGGTCTCTGTATGGCACCATGGCAAACATTCTGTCCCTCTCAACTGCTGCAGGAGGTGGGTGCTGTCCGACCTGCCTGAGGTCTTGTAGCTCATGGTCTCTGTATCTGGGCCGTCTGATTGCCAAGCCAGCCTCACCAGTGTGGTGGCCAGGGCTGTTGCAAGGCTCAAGTAGGGGACTGGGTGGGAAATGCTTTGAGGGCTCTGGAATGCCACACAGATGTGAACACCACCCCCAGCCACACACACACACACCTCCTCCCCAGACCATGTGGGGATTAAGCTGTTTGCTGTTTTTTGCTCCTCCCTGTTCCGGGAGAAATGTGTCATACCCTGGTGGGTGGAGATGAAGCCAGTGTGTGGCTCCAGAACAGTGCTCAATGAGGAGGTAAGAAGACCAGGCAGGTGTCTGCAGCCTGCCCAGTTGTGAGACTGTGTCCCAGTGGGGGGTGTTTGTCCCTGTACATATGACTGTGCTTGTGTGTGTGGGTGGGTGTGTGGAGGGACGTCTCTCTGTGAGTCTGTGTTTCTGAATGTGCATGTTTCTATGTCTTTCTCTGTGTCCCTGCCCCTGCTATACACAGAGAAACACAGAATCATGGGGTTTAAGTCGGGGGAAGAACAGATGGTGGAGTGGGGACACAGACACAGGGGCACACAGGCTCCTCCAGGTGTTCACAAACACCCAGGGTGACACACACAAGGATGCACAGGGTGGCAGTTTCTCAGTGTGCTTTCTCTAGTATGTTGGCACGTCCTTCTTATGACGTGCATCATATGTGTGTCTGGCACACACACAGGCACACATACCCAGTTAGCCTCAGAAACACACACAATAGCACGTATATTGAGACCCATGAAAACACTCAGACATGCAACACACTCTGTCTTTGCATGTGTATTCCCGTGTGTGTGTTGCTGTGTGTTTTTCTGAGTATGTGGGCATCTGTGTGTCTGAATAACACAAACACATGTAGGAAACAGAAACATGCAGGCACACACTCTGAGAAGCACACACAGTGTCTATCTGTGCGTGCATGTCTGTGTGCACGTGTGCGTGACTCCTAAAGTCAGGGAGGAAGGAGGCACCATCACTGAGCTGGGAGGAGGGAGGCCAGGAGAAAGCCAGTGGGAGATGTCCTTGCTCTGTCCCTGGCACATGGACCCAGCTCTCTTATCCTCTTGCCAGAGCCCCACCTGGCAGGAGCAGGATGAGGGGCATGAGTGGGGCCGCTATTCCCAGGTGGGTCAGTCAGCAAGCACTGATGAAGCCCCTGAGGTGGACCAGCCCCTCTGTGGATTTTGTGGGGCAATAGGAAAGATCCCACTAAACATCTACCCCGTGCCTGTAGCAAGCCCACTGTCCCTATGGAGTGGAGGGGATAAATAAAGCCTACCTTGAATCACCAGGCCATGGCACACAGAGCAGAGACCCTCCTGGGGTCAGATCCTGGCTTCCTGCCCACCTTACTGGACCTACAGGTGTGGACAGGTCCTTGGCCTGTCTCTGCCTCTCATCTTCAGCACATAAGTGGGGAGAACAGTAGTGTCTGCCTCCTGAGTGGTGGTGAGGACTAAGACCATGCTCAAGGCAGACACTGAGTCATCAGCAGTTGTGAATTGAGACCTGCAATGGGCCAGCCCTGTTCTTGACACTGAGGCTTCAACAGTGGACAGAGTTCCATGTCCTCATGGAGTTTACCTTCTACTCCAAGGAGGAGGAAGCTGGTCAGTAAGCCAACAGTGTATAACATGTTGGGTGGTGAGTGTCAGAAAGAAAACCAAAGCAGGGTGTTAGTGCAGAGAACGGTAAAGGTGGGGCAGGGCTGATGTTTTGGAGGTGCCAGGAGTGGTCCAGAAAGGTGCAAAGGAATGAGCTGCTGATGGTGGAAGGATGTCATCAGGGAAGGAACAGCAAGGGCAGAGGTCCACTTATCCTCATGGTTACTCTGTGTTCTACCACTTTACAGCTGGGGAAATGGAGGCACAGAGAGGCTGAGTAATTTGCCCAGAGGCTCATATCCAATGAGATCAAGGCCCAGGATTTGAACCCAGGTCATCTGGTTTTAGAGCCAGTGGTCTAAATCAGCAGTCCTCAATCAAGGGTGATGTTTGCCCCCAAGGGATATTCAGCAACATTTGGAGACATTTCTGATTGCCACAACTGGACTTGGAGGTGCTACTAGTCTCTAGTGGGTTGAGGCCAGTGTTGCTATTTGACATTCCACAATGCCCAGGACAGTCCCCAGGCAAAAAGCAACATGCCATCCAAAGCACCTGTCATGCTGAGGCTGAGACACCCTGTTCTTAATGCATGCAAGGGACTTGACAGAGAGTAGGACATATAGTAGATGCTCAATAAAGAGTAGCTGAAGAGGAGGAGGAGAAATGACTTGGAGAAGGTTTCAGGGGAGAAATGAATTCAAGAGGTGAGAAAAAGTACGTGGAAATGAATCCATGAATTGACAAAAGTCACGTAATGCTGCTTGTTGGTAGCTGGGAGGGGCGGGGCTGTCCAGGGAGGTGGGTGCAGTGAGGCCAGTGGTGTGAGGAGGTTGGTGGGCTCAGGGTGGGGGCTGAAGCTGGGCAGCCACCATCTGCCAGAACACTAACCAGATGACTTGTCTCTCTGTCCCCTCCCACCCCGTGTCTCTCTCCCCATCTCTTTTGGCCTTTTTGCCCAGAAGGGGACAGCCGGAGGCTGAAGGGGGCGATCCAGAGGAGCACAGAGACAGGCCTGGCAGTGGAAATGCCCAGCCGGACGCTACGCCAGGCCAGCCACGAGTCCATCGAGGACAGCATGCACAGCTACGGCTCGGAGGGCAAGTGAGTGAGGGCCCATGCCTACCCCCAGCCCTCCTGGCTCTTGCAGCTCCTATGGCAGGGGACGGAGAACTGAGCAGCTCCTCCAGGAGCCCTGGGCCAGCCTCTGGCTGGCGGGGCATTAGCTGAGGGTCCCTGGGTCACGGCCATCTTCAGAAGGCAGGCAGCGAAGCAGCAAAGCCGAGGGGGAGTGAGCAGGACACTGACTCTGGTACCCAGCTACCTGGATTTGAATCCTGGCTCCACCCCATCCCGGCAGTGTGACCTTGGACATACCACATCTTTGTGCCACAGTTTCCTCATCTGTAAAATGGGGATAGTAGTACCAACCTCAAAGGGGTGTTATGAGGATAAGTGTTTATAATTCTCATAATCCAGGATTGATATTTATCTTAGTTTGTTTCTGTTGCCTGTAACAGAATACCTGACACTGGGTAATTTTAAAAGAAATAGAATTTGCTTCTTACAGTTTTGAAGGCCGAAAAGTCCAACATCAAGGAGGTACATCTGGGGGACACTCTGCAGAGTCTTGACGCTGCCTAAGGGATCACGTGGCGAGAGGGCTGAGGGTGTTCATGTGTTCTCTTCTTCTCTTTGTAAAGCTGCCAGTCTGCTCCCATGATAACCCATTCATCCATTAACCCGTTGCTCCATGAATGGGTTAATCCATTCATGAGGGCAGAGACTTCATGATTGAATCACCTCTTAAAGGCCTCACCTTTCAAATACCACAGTTGGATTTTCCACCCTCTTAATACCGTTAGAGTGGGGATTGGGTTTCAACATGAGCTTGGAGGGGACAAACATTCAAATCATAAAAATATTTATAAAGAGCATAGGACAGTGTTTGGCACGTAAATGGTATGTATCAGTGTTGGTGGATAAATAAAGAAGAAGGAATCTTCGGAAGGAGCAATCTAATGAAAATAAGGGAGTCAAGAGGGGTTTTATTATCATTATTGTTTCCTCTTTACTTTTTTAGTTTCTTAAATCCCAATTGGGTTTTAAAAATGCATACTGCTGCTTGATAAAGGCATTTCATGAGCATCAAATCATAAACCATTAGCGCTGGCTGGCTGCTTGCCGACGTTTCTGTCCCCAGCCGCACATCAGCATCACTGGAGACTGGTGGCAAATGCAGATCACGGGGCCCTGCTACCGGGCTGCTGATGAGGGCCTCTGGGAGTGGAGCCCTGGAACTTCGCCTTTAAAAAGCTCTCTGGAGGGCCGGCCCGGTGGCACACTGCTACAGTGCGCCGCTTGGGAGCGTGGTGGCGCTCCTGCCGAGGGTTCGGATCCCACGTACAGACCGGCCGCTCACTGGCTGAGCGAGGTGCGGGAGCAACACCGAGGGTTGCGATCCCGTTGCCGGTCCCGGTCCGGTAAGGGCGCGGCACTGAGGGTTGCGATCCGTTGCCGGTCACGAACAAAGACAAAAAAGGAAAAAAAAAAAAAAAAAAAAAAAAAA